TGCTGACTAGACCTAGGTGTCTTGGATACAATGGATACAAATAACTGACATGGACCTCTGCCCAGCTTTTATTACTAAAATTCAGTATCCTGTCTGTCCCACACTAAGTTCCAGAGTCAGTGTAGTAGGGTGCATGGCCAACAGTGGCACTATATAAATCTAAAACAGAAATAGCCAGCACTCCTTAAACACTATGAGGTGTTCAAAGCATATATTTGCAGCCAATCTATATAGAAGCTACACTGCCCCATCAAGGCCCTTCTGTATAATGTGGTCCCTAATCTAACAAAGCTTCCAACGTAGGACAGGCACAGCAATGACTAAAGATAGATATGCCTGGAGGTAGCCAATTCCTTTTTAGATGTGCAGATATACACTGAGAGTCCAGTACAGCACACCTGCAGCTTGGGACTGGTCAGCCCAGCGCCCCGGAAGTCCAGAGCGGGAACAAACAACCGAGTGTGACAACACTGCTCCTGTTGGAAGACACTGACAGCGAGTGTTGTCACCCTCTGACAGGAAGTGACTGGAGAAACTCTACACACTGAACAAATAATATTCTGCCAGGCAAGGTAACATATATACATTTTTATTTGAGTTTAGATACCCTAAAAAAGCAAGTACCTAGACATGTGTTAGTGTTTAGAAACCTATAGATCTACTCACTAGATTGTGTTCTGCAGAATGAATGAAGACAGCCTAGGTTATATGGTAAATGCCGCCTCTTTGTTTTGTGCCCCAGGTGAACGATTTTGCCCTGGAGTAGGGCAGGTGTCGGCCACTGATGAGATAAAGCGGGAAATCATCCACCAGCTCAGCATTAGACCTATGGCCCACAGTGAAATGGTCAAAGCCTTGCCAGAGGATGTAAGTGTGACACAATTTTAATTACTATTTATTTATCGTCCATTGAGGAGCACCGGAATTCTTAGTCTGTTGGGTTATACTGCCGCCTACAGCAGTGTAACCGGATAGTCTAAGGATTTTTGTGTCCCTCAATGGACTTCAAGAAAAGGATTTTATGGTGAGTACAAAAATCCTATTGTTCCTTTGTTGTCCCGTGTTGAAAAGTGATGAATATATATCGCACAATGTCTGCTTAGGGTTGCAGTGTACCCATCCGTCACAGTAGAAATAGCCACTTTTCCCAAAGTTCGGTCATTTTTGGTAAACGGGAACATATTATTTTCCCCCATGTGACAGTGCTTGAACCAGAGTGGCCAATCACCAAGCCCATACACTGTCCCATGGAAGCGTTGGAGATGTTCTCCATCTGTTTGAGCAGTATTGCCAAAGCGTACCC